AATCAGCGGCGGCCTTATCCATTGCGAGGCCCTGGGCGGCAGATCTTTGCGAGGCCCTTGTCCTTTGTGCAAAATATGTGAATTGAAATAGTAGGCACTTATTAATATATACTGTATTATAAATTAAATTTATTTTATTGTTATAACTAATAGCCAAGGATAAAATAAAAAGTTTTAAATATCAACTTTTTTCTACTTGGTTGTTGCGCGAGGCCCCGGTCCATTGCCCTGCTCGCCACTCCCTAAGGCCGCCACTGTATATATATATATAACTATATTACATACAAATAAAAACCCAGCAAAGCGGGTCCTTGCAGCTAGTATTAATAATAAAACTGATATATCAGAACGGGGTAAAGTAATATGTAAATTCGCTTGTTCATTTATGAAAAATGATATAGGTGAAACTGGGAGAAAGTTACAAGCTAGGTTTAGTGAACATATTTATACAATTATTATTTCCAGTCATCAGCAGTAGCCTGGCTAAACATTAAATTCAGTTTAGCTGTAACATAAACAAGGAGTCAATAAAGATAATTAAAACTGTTCCAGAAATAATAAAAAGTAAATTGTATGGACAACTGGAAATCATTAAAATTTCAGAAGAAAATAGGATCAGTGATAACACGAGTCTCAAAATGGATGAAAATTCGTTAACATGTTTTGTTTGATAAGAAAAATTCAATTTCTATAATAAAATTTCTTATTTGCATATAAAATTGAATAAAAATTTTTTTATTTAGCTAAATTTTCAATGATATAGAAATACTGAATGTGATAATCCATCATAAATTGTGATGTATAACTGAAGTGATTGAATAACTCCAGATGTACTCATCTTNATAATTCTGCTTTCGACTGAAAGATCTACGAAACGACGACTTCTCTCCGTCTCTGACGCCAAGCGGCGTCCTTCCCCCTTTATCACTCAGACCCCGTTTTGTTTGATAAGAAAAATTCAATTTCTATAATAAAATTTCTATAATAATTTCTATAATGCAAGATTTAAATTTACTCATCAAAATCTATTTCACCCCTTGAAAGTAGTCTTCTCCCATTGCAATGTATTTATGCCAACGGTTTTTTCAATCCTCGAAACATGACCGAAAATGACTTTATTTTCGTGGAACTCCTTCATAACTCGCAGCGAAATTTATTTTATGGTTTCAATTGACTCAAAAGGGTTACCACAAAGCGAAAATTTTAGTCGAAAAAACAGGAAAATGTCAGGTGAATACGGACTTGCGGAACCGTATTTTGAATTTTTAGCCAAAAATTCACGAACAACGAGATCATTACGAGCAGGTACATTATTATGGTGCAAAATCCACGAGTTTTCTCTCCACGAATTGGGTTGGTTTCTACGAATTGCTTCATTCAAACGATGCAAAACGCTTAAATAATATCCTTTATTGACACTTTGCCAGTCGGAAAGGGATTCGTATTGTACAGTACAACAACGAAAACAATCGAAGAAAAGTCAACACGATCTTGATTTTTGACATGGTCTCGCTTCATCTTTCGAGCGCCATTATTGATTGTCGAACTGTTTCGGTGTCAAAAGCGTAAATTGGTGTTTCTTCACGCGTAATGATGCGTTTTAAGAACGATTCGCCTTGAGAAAGCATTTCTTCGGCCACCTGAACACTAGTTATAGCATAGTAGAATAGTATAGAAAAACTTCTGAAATCTTGTGAAGAATGCTCATCAAACACAATTCGTTCGTCATTGGAACTCTCCTGCTAATAAGTTGGATCGAATTTACGTCTACTACGCTAGATCCTTTCGAAGACTTTTATCATTTCTTCTTATGGATAAAATCTTGCTGGACGAAAATTAAAATACTTCGTGAAGCACAAACACAATACACTTTCTATTTTATAAATGAAATTTTCTGAACTCACGATTATCGAATTATTATGGTATCGGAAATGCTTCCTTTTCTACCAGAGAATCATTTAAATGTTATTGCCACATGAATAAAATAAACAAAAGTTTATTGCGCAGGAACATCCAGCAACCAATGGTATGGTCGAACAAAACGTTCAAATTATGAAGGATCGATTTAAAAGTTACCATTTTATAGGCCCTAAGTCTCATAAGGGACTCTTGCCCTGCCCCGCCTATTGGCACTACAGGGTTAAAAGAGGCTATGCCTTATTCATCAACTTAGGTCTGTTACCATTACCGAAAACATCCCAAATCAACCTAAAATTTCGGAATATTCTTTCCGTTATTCAGCAACTCCGTTGGCAAATAGGAAATCATTAGCAGGATCGTAAATTCGTATTAAGCTCCATGCAGTGTGTCCATATCATTATTATTTTTTAAATTTAATTATTAGCTTTAGTTTAATTAATAGATACCTAGTATTAACAATTATTACTATTAAATTAAATGACAAAAATTTATTGATATAAGCATATTTAAACACGAATTCTTGAATGCCATTTAAATTACGCGAATGTCAATTAACAGGGCTTTTGTTAATTAATTAATGTAATTTAAATTCAACTGTGGCGCGTACCGAAAAACGGAAATGGTATCTTTCTTAGTTTTACAATTGTTTATTGCAGAGACGATAGACCGCGCTGTAAATATTGAGAGAAAACAATCACCATATTCGATTTATAAAAATAAAGCTTTTTGTACGTGAAGTCTTTACAAAAAAAAAAAAATGTCGAAGCGCAGCTTTTTTTTATTTATTTATTCCACTTTTCGTTCATAATTTTACTCCGTCAATAAACGTTTTCTTTTAATAAGAATAACCGGTGAGTTACACCGGTAAGAAAATTCGATGTAAAAAAAATTCTTTTGAAAAGAATTTTTAAGCGCCAGAGGGCGTCACCAGCGTCGGTTATAAATAAGACGGGAAGGCGACGGACGCATTTTTACAAACGAGGTCACGGTCGTTGGTATTATTTGATCCGCGGAATTGACGAAACCTTCTAAAGCGCAATCGCAATAAAAAATATTTAAATCGAATGGAAATAAAGACAGGCGAGCAACGCCCAATTCAGTCGAATGATTAAAGTAAATAAAAACGAAAAAAGATTACAGAATAGGTAGAGACGGGAATGCAAGCAGAAAGTGTCCGATACAAATAGCGCGCGTCGAGTACATCGGGCGTCAGACAACGGAAGGACGATGCGGCCGATGAACAGCTCTTCGTCCCCAGGCAAAGAAATAGGCGGACGGATCGGCCGACCGCCGAACCACGGCCCCGTCCCGAGAACGGCGGGTGAGACATGGGGTAAGCCTCCGAGTGTTTTTACTCGACACGGTTACGATTATTTGTCCCGATCGTCGACGGAATGACAACGATCTGGGTGAAAGTAGAAACAAAGATGGAGACCTCCGAGTCACGTGACAGCCGTTAAAAACGGATCGTCTCCTAGCAACCAGTCGGCAGCGGTTCGAGATCCAATGTTATTAAGGATGCCGCTTCCGCGTAATAATGCCGGTAAAGAAGTCGTTCGTCGTAACTTTTTGCGCTTCGGAAACCGGCGACAGGCTGAAAATAACGATGTCGAATCCAACGTTTCCGCCGGGTGCCTCGTTTACAGACAGCTGTTTCGGTTCCGACACCTGCCCGGACACCAACCGACGTATATCTGGATCGACGGTCTATTCTCTCCTCCAAGATGGCGTCGGTTGGAGAAGAAAGGAGACTCTTTGGTTCCTTTCTTCTCGTAAAGACGACGCGCGTGTCGGTCGTCCGGCAGTCGGACGACCGTTCCTCTTTTCCTCCCACTCGTCCGAGAACGACCGACGGTTATCGATCTTAAGAAAATGGCGTCCGAAGCGACTGTTATTTCCGAATCTGAGGGAAAGGCGTTCGGTAGGGGCAATAAAGTAGGAAGTGAAATACGAAATGGCTCAAAAAGGAGATGCACGGATCCCTTCTAACAGATAAAGATGGCGTCGGCGAAAAATGGTCGGTTTAACCGTCCATTATGGAAGGCAACAGATCGGCCACTATCATTTGCCCGACGCCATTTATATCTTGTAGAGTTCGATTCACTACGAGACCGAAACGCAAAACATTTTCCGCGTTTCGGACCTAGCAACGTCGTTCATTCCGATGATTATAATTCTGCTTTCGACTGAAAGATCTACGAAACGACGACTTCTCTCCGTCTCTGACGCCAAGCGGCGTCCTTCCCCCTTTATCACTCAGACCCCAGCTCCACCATTGGTCGATTCGAACGTCTCCCAACCAATCGACACGAGTCGGAGCTGCCGAGCGGTACGCGTACTCCGGCCGACCGAGCAATGTCGGACCCCTCTGAGGACCAATTGGAGTTGCCGCGCTTCCCGCGGTGCGGCCGTGGCGAACCTTTCTGGCACTTTGCGAGTAGACGCGCTCGGTGGGACTCGTCGCTCCGCTCCTCGCTTCGCCGGAGACCAGACCATGGAGAAGAGAATCGAGTTGGAAAAGCGTGGAAGAACGCCCTCGCAGGTGACTTTTCTTTCCTTTTCTCGATTTCTTCGTCGGACCCTTTCGTCCGCGTACTAGACTCGGCCCGTCGTCGGAGTCGGCTAGCGGGCCGAGCTCTTTCTTTCTCTCGGAGCCCGCCGCCAAAGCGAACGGCCACGTGGTCCGATTGACTGCGTGGCGCGACGCGGTCCACGGGCCCCGTCGGATCTTCGAAGTCGCGAAAGAAATGAAAGCGCACGTGCCGAGGTCGGAAAAGACGGTCCGAGAAAAGGAGGTCGGAGGTTGCCATCTTGATTCGATCATCTCACCTCCGGCCGTAGGGTTTCATTGGACGAAAGTTCGTCGGTACCATTGATCGGTCGGTGTTTTAAATAAAGGAAGAATTTCGGCTGGATTTCGTCTGCGCCATCGTTCCTTTCGCTGCCTTTCGGTGTGGTTCGGTCCCACCGAAATGCCCTTTTTTCCTGCTGGACGCGAAAAGGAAAGGCGCATAGTCGCGTCGCCTTCCGTCTCTTTGTGCGGTCGCTACTCTTCGCCGCCGGAAAGGCTGAGAAATGGAAGAAGGTCCGCCATTATGCCCGGCGTCGTCGTCGTCTTCGAAACGGTGGTCTCCCACCGTCCGAATTTCGGAAATAAGGATTATTTGCCGCCGTGACTGGATGACAAAAGACGACTGATGGGTACATGGCGGTGTTTCCGATCTCTTTCGGCTTTTGCAGAGGTCTTGCTTCGTCCTCCGACCGTTCTTCCGCCATCTTTGTTATCCCGGCGCATCGACGAAATTCGGCGTTGCTCGAAACCGAGCCGTTTCCGTCGTCCGTCACGGCTCTTTTGCGCCTCGGTTTCAACCGCGCTTTCCGAAAGAACTTTCCTTCTCCTTAGCCTTTTATTTTGACCGTAGTCTTTCTTAGAAAAACGGAAAACGACGCTTTCTCCCGCCGCTTTTTGTTCTCGGACAAATGGCGTTACGCTCGTGCGTGGCGTCTTCTCGTGCCAGTAGCGCCGCCGTTCGGCCGTTCTTCCTTGCTTAGTTGTCGCGCTTTCCACTGGAGGCGCCGTCTTCAGTTAATTTTGACTGTTTATTTTGCCGTTACAAAACGCTTAACGCTTTATTTAAATCTATATACTTACACTTTTTTAAATTTCGACTGTTACTCGGCGAGAACATTTCGGTGCAGCATCCGTGACCGAAATGTAAACATAATTTGGTGATTAATTAAGAACGTCAAAAAGGTTTTATAACGTGATGTCATTTTATTTATGCGATTCGACCACATTATTATTAAAATGATAATTGCAAATAACGCTACAATAGCGTTATTTACAGTTTGGTAACTATCGTTGAAAAGAATCCCATCCCATATTGAGAAAATAAAGCTTGTGTGGACTAATCTTGCAAACTCGACCTTTCATTTATATCAAATATGTAAAAATGATATACGGTAGCTCACATTGAAAAGGGTACACTTAACGTTTTAGGGTACAGCTAAACGTTTTATAGGAAAAGTTCGAAAACATTATAAATATAACATTTATTACTTAACTAAATTGTGTTATAAACAACATATTTTCGTATAAGCAACTGAAACAGAACCCTCTATGAAAATGATACAAATTGAAAATTCAAAGCCACATTAAACATCTAATACTTATTATTCTAATATTTTATTGCATTTCCCTTATTCTATATTGTCATTCTCAGACATGTTGGCATTGATTTCACCCATTTTTTTTTCTGTGCAATTGGATGAAACTGTTGCCAGTGCTTTTTCTTTCAAGTCTTTTCAGATCTTTTTGATATATATGGTATTTTTGCACGTTAGTTTTAAGTTTTGCCCACAAATTCTCAATAATATTTAAATCGGATGTCTGTTAGAGTTTTTAATTTACCCAAGACAATTGTAGACTAGCCGTTCTTTGACTAAATACGCTGTATATTTGGGTTATTGTCTTGGTAGAATGGAAAGTCATTTTCTGACTCCATGTTTTCAGCACTAAAATTATTTTTCAAAATATCAAGTTATCAATAGATAAACTTATTCATTGCACCTTTTATAAAATTCAAGTTTCCAACTTTGTACCAATATGTACAACCACACATCCATCACATTTCCACCATCGTGTTTTGTTGTTGCTTGAAGGTTTCAAAGTTTATCTTTTTTATATTGTTCTGTAATGTATTAAACAAATTGCTATAAGTTTATTCACCATTTCAGCAATCTGTCAAATACTTTTTTTGTTTTGTTAGTTATTAGAACATTTATGAAATGAAACAATACACAAACTGTATTTTTGAACTGAATTTAAAAAGTAATAGTAGAAAAGAGAAATTATTGTGTTAAAATATAAATCTGTGACTTGGAAGGATCAAGGCCAGTGTCAAGTGCATTGCCCTTTGACACTGAGCTTTATTTTTCCAAGCCACAAAAAATTGCTGGAAAAATATGATAATTACATATTGGAGAACAAAAAAGCTTAAATTAAAAATGATAGTTAACGGTTTAAATGGACACAAGAAATTTTCAGTACGAGAAGAAAAAAATTTGGAATTCAAATCTGAAACCAATTTTTTGGAGATATTTAATAATAGTATAATTTCTATTCAAAAGTGCAAAGAGAAGTTGATTGTAGATTCTAAAAAAACATTGCAAAAAATTTGTTAGATTTTGAAAAGATGGTTTTTCACTTATTTGGCCTGGATAGTGATTTGAAAAAGCTTATTGAGTAAAGCAACAAACAGTTTCAAATATGAAAGTACATACAGTACATGTAATGGTATTTTTTAAATGGAATGAAACATATAATTATCCTATGAATTATAAACAGACAAATTTACATCAGTTGTGTATGAAAATTATGATACAAGAATTTGATAATTCCTCTATAAGGTTTATTATTACAGTATATGATTTTCTCTGAATGTAAAGACACTTGATACAATATGACAATCTAAAATTATTTTCCAAATTTCTACCAATTATCTCATTAATTATCTTTTGAAGATCACTAAAGACAAGATATATTTCAGTAAGATATGCAAAGAATAATCCCTTATTATAATTTCTTATTTATTGATTTATAAAAATACTAGCTGTTACCCACGGCTTCACTCATGCGAAATTTGCAATTTGATAGAAATAACCCTCCCTCGATACTTCACTGAGATTCTCAACGTTAGTTGTTACTATGAAAACAAAAAATTGCTTCTAAAATACTACAGTAGATGTTCTTCAGGTTAAGCCATAACCCTCTCCCCCTCCCCCGTGGGGAATTTCGAAAAATTTCTTCTTAGTGTGCATTTTCATGATGTACCCTAACTGTGTACCAAATCTCACCTCTAGGTTCAGCGGTTTGCTCTGGGCGATGATGAATCAGTCAGGACATGTAATTTTATATATCACAAGTTTGGACACGTGCACTGTGTATCTTGTGACCACGCAATTGCTCCACGCTGTTACCTATCTTGTATACATACATATCTTGTCCTTTGCCACCCACTGACACCAAAAATATAACACTTACCTAGATGATATCTTTTAATTTATATGAATGTTTAGCAGAATAATATAAAGCCTATGTCCACTCTGAAGGTCCATTCTAAATATTGGTGAAAGAATTTTTGAAATTGGATGAGTAGTTGTGGAGATTACCTCCTACATCCAAACTTACAAACTTTACCTCTTTATAATATTAGTATAGATATAGATTTTCATTCTAAACAATATTGTTAATTTTAAAAACTGTCTTGTCTTATTTGAAAGATAAAATTAAAATATTTTTCTGTATGCTATGCTCTTACACAGTATATAGAAAATTTTCTAAAATAGGATTTTGTGTCAACTGTTTATATCAGGTTTTATATTAAGTGGCTAAAACACATAGGAGTATTGTAGAAATCATTTGAATATAATTAGAAATTGTATTTCAAAAACCAAATGAAGAATGATTAACTGATTTGCAAAATATGATAAATATCAAGTTGTGGACAATTTGAAAATTCAATAAAAAAATCAAAGGGTATAAAAAGGAGAAAAAAATATATATATGTATATATATACATATATACATAATGTTAAGTGTGTTATAGATAAAGAAAATTTATATATGTTGTGTGATTTATTGATTAAGCAGACTATAGTATCTTAAGGAAAGTTCTTTGGCAATTTAAATGCAATTTACAAAATACAAAATGACTTAATAAAATATAGGAATTTAGGATATTAGGAATTTAAAAAAAGCAATATTTGTTTTTTTTTTTTTTAAATGTTACTGTTTTCAAGTAAATGAAAATTCAATGGAACACTGATACTTTTGCTTTGTTAATTTAAAACATTGATAAAGGATTCTCTGCAAGTAATATATAATATAAAAGTAAGTTTATATCTTTATAATGTAATTTATTAATCAGCAATGTTCAGTTTTAAACTCGTTAACATAATGTAGAATAATAATAAAAAATTCAAATTGAGAGTATTTCTGATCTAAAAACCTTGATTTGTTGTAATTACTAAATTTTCTATTTTCTTTGGAAGCATTGTAAATAGTTTAAATTCAATATTTTCTGTTAATAAATTATACTATATAATATAAGGTTCTGATTGATTTTGTTATGTACATGAAAATAGACTGTTTATACAGTTTTGATTTTCTATAACAGTTAGTGAACAAAAGAAAGAAGGAATTTGAAGACTGATATTAGGGTTGATCATAAAATAAGTAGACGACAAAAACAACTTTAATCAAAATAAGTGCCACAGTTGTTAAGACATTTGTCTCATCTTTTCCACAAGACAGCAGATGCCACACTCAAAGAAGCTGGTGGACTGCTGCAACAGTCAGTTTTCCACCACATTCTTCACTTTGTCATCCGACTGAAACTGGCACCCCTTCAAACATTTCTTTAAATGGACCGAACATGCTGCAGTTACAGGGGCTGAGGTCAAGACTGTAGAGAGGTGGTTCAACTGCTCCCAGTGGAACTGACAGAGCATATTCTGTGTAGCCTGGGTGGAGTGGGGTGG